CAGAAAATATACATGTTTTTTCTAATACGTGGCATATAAAGATAAACAAGGCACAGGGCCTGCCTGTGTGGCTCCTAACTAACAGTAAAGGTGCTCGCATATTCTATTCAGTGTAAATTCACAAAACTCGCTGCGGTGTGTAATAACGGCTATTAGGAGATGACTACAAGATCTGGATTGGGGTGTTTTATTTGGTGGGACTGATGTGACATTTGAATAACTGTATGCTGTCTATGATGGGCATTCTAATAAGCCTGAGCAAACACCTTTTGCCCGTTTCTCCCTGTCTCGGGGGCATTAATATTAAAAAGGACCAAGCTTTAGAACTGCGGATCTACTGTGATTGTTCAATCTGCTCCTCGCCTTTACCTGCGACTTCTCATGCAGCGCTGTGCAAATGAGAATCTCCATACCGCCCTGTTTGACCTTTTGTGGTCTATTTTCATGCTCCCAACTATTTTAGAATGCTTGTTTATACAGCTTTGTTTCAATTGACATGTATGCGTGCATACATGTATGCATATTTCACCTTGATGCGTGGGTGTGTGTATGTGAGGGCCTCCTCTTCTTCTTCTCCTCTCTCGTTTCGGTGCAGTTTCCAGCTCCCTCCTGTAGGACCTATTTTTCTGTGCCAAAAATGAGGTGTTTATACAGAATACTTGGTTTTACATACAGCGTGATCCCCCTCCGCCCCATCCACCCCTGCACTCCCGTTCTCTTCAGGCACTCCGCCGTGTGGTCCCTGTGTGGCGCAGCCACTGAAGACTCTGTGACAAATAGCAATTATATTTGTGTGTTCTTCATGAATCCATCAAGCGCTGGCCTTTTAAAAATGCTCCCCAGATATTTGAGGCTGTCAGCTACTAGTAGCTGGGACCAAATTGGGATGCTGCTTAGACAGTCAAGAACCACTCAGCCCCTAGTTTCCCCTGTGATGTGTGTGACAGCGTGTGTAGGGGAATACCATGTTTTATTCAACTACAAACGTACACCCTCAACAGTTGTTGATGTGCTGGAAATAGGGCAGTTACAAGTCCAATTTGAAGCTTGCGTGTGTGTACGTTGCGTGCGGATGTCCAGCTCTTCCTCCAAAACATGCGGTTCCGGTGCCTGCGGTTGGGCTGTGTTCATTCAGTCATTTCAGGACTCTATTGCTTTCTTAGAAGATTGTTGGACTTTTTTTTTTTAACTGAACTTAATGCGAAAGTTACCAAGATGTAAGTTTCACATCTTGGTATTGGCTGTAGTTGGGATAATGCAGATCTCTGTAGACCCAAATGAAATTTTTCACAAAAGTAACTTTAAAGTATCTTTAGATGAAATATCAGACTATATTATTTCAAAATATATTACCACAAAATGGAATTAGTAGAAACTGAGTCCTAAGAGTTTTGGTATTTCAGACTCAATGAGGCTGTATGCCTCATTTATAACCCCAAAAGTAACAAAATACAGATTGCATAAAAACTTTGAACATTTTAAAACTGTAAAATCTTAATTACATTATTGCTGTATGAAATGAGTTATTTGAATAGCAAAAGTATGCCATCAATAATGTCAAAAACAGTATTTCGGTATTGTATATTTCACTGAATTAATGTTCTCTGGAATATCATTATCAATGACAATATAGTTTTGTCAGTCAGGAACAAACAAAAGTGTAAAATGTAATTTCTACTTTAGTTTCCCATTACTAGACTAAAGTGCACAGTGAAAAGTTTTAATGGAATCCAATTCTACAGTTTCTCCTCATTTCTGCTTTTTCTCATTATCTCTTCATTTGTCTCCTGGTGACTGTACGAGTCTGTCATTGCCATCTTTGACAGTATGATCATTATTATGATCAATGATTATGAATATTGCTCCATTGTGTCCATTAATCTCAGTCTCCATTTTCAGCAGGTTAAAAATAAAAGACTGCCACTGTGTGATTACTATCCAAACCGAGGACCTGCTACCGAAAAGCAGAACTCCGCTGAGCTTAGCCACTTCTGTGGCGCTCTGCACTGTGTCTGAAACCCGACTAACCGCTTATGTACTCTAATTTTTACTTGGTGGTTTCTTAATAAGTATTTATACGTAGGGAAATTGGAAGGTTGACTTCCTGCAAAGGGAAGGCAATTATGCCTCCCAGTCTTCTTTGGCTGTTTTTATGCATCGACGTGGGTTTGAATGTGAGGGTCCATGCGGCTGCTTCACTTAAGCTAAATAACGGAAAATGGCTGTTATTAAGCTTATTATGGCACTTTACAAATTGGACAAAAAACTGCTTTGATATAGAGATAAGTTTGTTATATTTTATTCAGTACATAAAGCTTTGAGATAATCTTTTTGTTGTCATTGTATCTGATGTACAGGAGCTTAGTGTCATGTGTAATAATTAAACATTATGTTTAATAATAAACATGGGTTTATTTAATGTGCAGACGTCCTGAGCCATCACTCATTGTGTTAAATTTAGCTAATTTTAAGTAAATCATGTTTTAAACTGTTTGTGTAAATAAAATGTGTGAAATGGTTTTGTATCCATCCATTGCTACGTGTTTATTTGAGTTCAGGGCACATAGTCACCGGGTCCAGTAGGGAGAACTCGGTTGGCTCTTTCCCCCAACGGCACTCTGTTCTGGCTAGATGCTGAAATCCACCTCAATTGTCCTAAATATGGTCCTTGTGATGCCGTGACTGTATTCCATTGGTTATAGCAATGCAAAATGATGTTATATGTGAAATTTACTTTTGGTATTTTGAGATCACAACTGTATGCAAAAATACCAACGAAGCTCATGTTTCATTTAGTCATAATTTTCAACTTCATGCACAAACTCTTCAGGTTGTTTGATAGTTCTTTAAGTTCCATAAAGCTGGAGGAAACGTCTGAGCTCCGAATCATAATAAAGAACCAAAAAGGGAGAAAGGAAAAAAAAGACAAAAAAGTTCATATTTGACAGGAATAAAATAAAACTGTCTGTTTAATTTGTTTTGACAAAGAGATTGCCATAAGATTTTATTGCATGAAAACCCAAATACAATGGAAAAAAAACAATCAGCAATATCACCCAGAAAATTACACTTTTAATTTTTTTTTTTTTTCACTATGATCCTTCGGATTCAAACACGTTTTTCTCTCCAACAAAACACATCAATTCGGATGTGCTTGTAGTTTATTCCTGGATATATAAATATAAAAAAAATATTCCTCTGTCAGCTCCCAAAGCTTCGCAAACTGTGATAACACTGCGATTGCACACTGTGCTGACATTGATAAACAAGACCAAAATTGACTACATAAGTGGGGGGAAGAAAAAGGAAAGTTACACTTATTAAAAACGTGTTAAAAGCAGCAACAGAGCAACAGATGTACCCTCTTGCGATTCCCCTTGTTAAGAATGATTCAGTGTCTCCATACGTTGTCATGGACAGGGTTCTTTTGGCTTTTTGTCTTTCGGAGATGAAAAATCCAACAACCTGGCCTTAAAATCACTGCATAATGAATTCTGTGGTGTGCCATGCAGTTGTCTAATTCAAATTGCATGAAATCCTGATCCCCAAAGTCTGTATTTGTTTATTAAAGCAGCACGCAGACGCCTGCAGGAGGAGAAGGCGAAAGCCCAGAGTGCGTATTTAATTGCTTTGTTTTACATCCACATTCACGTCCGGCCTCTCCCAGGGTGATGTGTTGTTAAAAACTGCAAGGCCCCATTCCCACACTCCTGCTCTCTTGTTAACTGTAATTGCACTTGTTGGTGAGCTGACAGAAAGAAAATAAAGATGGAAACAAATTACCAGAATCGCATTAACGTCCATGTGTGCATCCACTTAGGAAAATGTGGGGGTTTTTTTGGGGTTTTTTTTGGAGGGGAACATATGGAAGCTTGCAAAGGTTTGCATTACAACAGCTGGTAAATGTGACCGAATATAAAGTTTAGTTGCAATAATGCCTTATAGACAATGCATATAAGGCCTAAAATAAGTAAGAAGGGTTCACTCGGAGAAACTTAAAAAAAAAAAGAAAAAAAAAAGGAGATGAATAATTCAGAAAATCTGGCAGCGTGTGCACATGTACCGTAGCTCTGATGTGCAGGGAAGCTAAAGCAGGAGTTAACTCCCAGTAGAGCTGAATGTGCAAGGTGTTCCTCTCAGTGAAATGCCACCTCCTTTTTCCTCACTCGCATCCTTCCTTTTCCTTCTTATCAGACAGGTTGCTGTCTCTTGGCTTTCTGCGACTGTCACACACGCACTTAGAAAGTCTGGTTGAGGCCATCTATGAGCTTTCAGAGGAGAGAAGATCATTACCGTTGCAGACAGCAGCCATTTTACAAATTTGTACACTATCACAGGCTGCCTTTCCTCCTTTTTTTTTCACTCTAATAATCTCTTCGTCTCACGCCGACTTAACTCACCAAGGAGCTGCTGCCACAAATGTGTTTGACTACACAGGTGGCTTTCATGATTCTTTCACATGTGAAGTTGTACGTTTCTGCTCTTCGCTCGCTTTTTTGGGTTTGAAATATTAGTCACACGACTGACATTATCTTGTTAAGAGTGGTGGTAGATAAAGTGCAAGATGCAAGGAGGGCTGAAAGTTTAAGAATTTCCTAAATAGTTTAAGTTCCATTTTTTTTATATATATATATATTCACAATACCTATTAATAAACATTGACATGGTAATATATAAAAATGTAGCCAGGTGCCTATACTCCCATCAGTTTTTCTAAGTGGCATTGCATATTATTGCTTTAAGTTATTATGACAAATTAATATGCCCAACAAAAGTTTGAGCCATAGCAGCAACAACAAAAAAAGCTCTATAAATCAAGAAAACATGGCGTTATAATTCTATTATTGAATGTTGCCTTGCTGATGTTAATCGCAACTAAGCAATATTTTCTTGACTCCCTACTTTCCTTCATTGAACTGTGATTCAGCATCCAACATGTTGTGCAGCTCTGAAGACAACAAGGAGCTCAAAATGACATCCTGTCACTTTATTTTGAACAGCCCAGCCTCGGTCCGAGTCTGATCTGAAACCAGCGCCTTCTGAGGAGGCAGAGCGAGAGACTGCCAAGGACCAAAATGGCTCTCCCCACAACAGCTCCGGCACGCCCGCAGCGACAAACGCCAACGGAATCTCCACCAGTGTTGGCAGCCCCAATGGCACGAGGACGTGCACCTGCGGCGCCGTTGTCGGGGCGAGCGCGGCGGGCAGGTTGGGCCCCGGGCATGCGCCGCCGACAGCCACGCCACAGACAGAGCAGCCCAGGAGGCAGCCGTCCACGCCCGTGTCTCACAGGGTGCAGAGGAAGCTGAAGTCCAGCTTGTCGGTCAACAGTGACAGCAGCAGACGGAGCAAAGGGAGCTCCACGGGCTCGCAGAAACCGCCTTTACCAGAGGGTTAGTAATCAGCACACAATGTTGGCAATTAAAGATTAAAACACAGTACTAATTCAAACTAACTTTTCTAACTTCTAATTCTGTAATTCTGTCTCTTCATCTCAGCTTTTGACGATCCTAATATCATTCTAACTTTGCCAGCAAAGCTTCGAGCAGCAGGGTTCAGTCAGTGGTGGTAACGGCAATTTTGAAAATGGACCTCATGGCCTGTTTAAACACTTGGTATCATTTGGTGTACAGTTTCTCACCCAGTATGCCACCCAAATGATCATAATATTTATCAGAAATTTTGGGGAGAAAATAAAGTTTTCTGATTCTAAGTTGGCTTTTGCTTGATGGCAACAGTTCAGAAAGTTTATGAAGAAAGTATTGACCATATCCTTGTCTTGTTGGCATAAAATCTACATTCATTTTTCTTCACGTAGGAAAATACAAACCTCCTGTCTTACCAGAGTTTGATAAAAGATCAGATGAGCGAAACCAATATGGCAGGAAGCTTGGGGCATTTTCTCGAAGGCTCATGAAGTAATACTCACATCAGCTATCGATAATAAATTCTTACCTTCTCTCACCTTTTAATGATGAAGGTGCCTGACCTCTCGTATTTATCACTCCCGTCAACCAAATGACATCTTATCTGTCTCCCGTGGCTTTTATTTGCCTTAACAATAAGTCAGAGGGTGCGTTGGGCATGCGGGGAAGCCATCACTTTTGTCAGGTGAGAGGCTGAGGTGAGTCCGGTAATGAAGGCGGCTGGCCGGTCTTCTTCCGTCTGGGAGATAGGTGCGAGCGTCTAACGAGACCTGAGAGCACGGGGTGCCTATTATAAGTCGTGACCAACCTTCTTCGGGCCCCTCACACCTCTCTGGGCCCTTTTTGGCTCTCCCCACATCCCATCAGCAACACCTTGGCCCTCATTAGCAGGGCCCGTTGCTCCCCTCTTCAATCTATTGCATTTGGTGGCTGTGGGTTCTCCACCACTTCAGTACGCTTCCCAGGGGATAAGCATATTTTGCTGTTTATTTTATTTGCTTACAAGTCTATTTCAATAAATTGCGTTACGTTAGAGCTTACTGCTAAAGAAAACCCAAGATTCAATTTCAGAAAATCTGAATGTTACTTATCCGTACATAAAAAATGATTTTAGTGGAGAAATGTTATTACTCAAGTCACTGATGCCCTCCACAAAGAAGATAAATCACAAGTGGTCTCTACTGCATAAACTGCAGGTTTTGAAAACGGTATTTAACTATATTAATGGATAATTAGGTGGAAGGAAAAATGTGGTTGAAAAAGTCCCACACGCCAGGGTAATGGCAACCTTGAGGATTGCGAAGCAAAGTTCATTTATGAGCTTAGGTAGAGATTTATAAGGTTTGTACTTGTTCTGGAGCCAGAACATCCAGAACCACTGCAGATGTATATCCACGACAACAGCTCCTACTGTTGGATCGAGGTCACCGCATATAGAGGAACCAGGGAGAGGCTTAGAGTCCAAGTCGCCTGTGGTCCAGTGTGAAGTTTCCACAGAGTTTAGTTGGGGAGTCATGCTATCTGCTGCTGTTGGTCCACTGCGGTTTATCCAAAGTAAGTCCAACCATCTATCAGCAATTCCGCTGCTGACAGGACTTGTTGAGATGCCGAATTCATTTTCCGGCAGTACTCTGCACCTTACTCACTCTGCCAAATGTACCAGTACCTGCTTTTAATGACCATGAAGTGAGTGTGTTCAATTGGCCCTCACTGGACCCAACAATGCAAGTTCACTGAAGGTTGTCATCAAAGCAACACATCAGTAGTGCTGATGGTACAGTGGTACAGTAATTTATGCAAGTAGCCCAGGTCAATTGTTGAGTGTGTATACTGTACACACAGTATGCACTGTACTTTTCTAACTTTTTTCTACTACACAGACTTAAAAGCACCAATTTCCCTTGCTTTCAAGTTTCCGGATTGTTGAAAATACTTACATGCTGCCCTTTGACCTTTATTGGCTTACCCCTCCATGGCTTGATTCAGTGACTCAAATCAGCAGCCTTCCCCAGGATTGTGTATGTCTTAACTTTACATTTTATATTCAAATTGTATTCACACTGTTTATTCTAAGGCACCTTAGAGCCCTTATGCACCTGCTGTGGAAAACAGATTATTTTGGATTGTTGAACTGGCTGTAAACTTTAACCATCTAAATTAATCAAAATAAATGCTTGAAATATATCCCTTTGCTGCTCTAAGGTTGAATTAAATATAAACTGTAATTTGATAAAACAAAAAAAACAAACTTCTGTGATTGGAAAATAATTTTAAATCGGGCTGTCAGGTCTTTATTTGATGCATCAGAGCAGAATCCACATAACCAAAAACAAAGGCTGTACCATCATTTTCAATTCTTAAGTTTAGGTAAAAGGCAACCACCAGACATGGTCTCGATGTGTCATGTTTTCCATGTCTTACTTGGTGGGGAAAAAAACAGAGGAGAGGAAGCGCAGAAAATAAAAAAACACTAACCGCTCAACAAGTCTCATTATGGCTTTTGCGTGTTGCCTTTTTGAAGATGCCAGAGCTCTCAGTATCAATATGCTCATTCTCAACTGTTTATTTCCCCCCGGATGGCAGCCAAGCTGTTGTTTGAATGTTTACACGGATTAACATAATCTGTTTGCCTGTGAAATTAGCCTCCTAAACAGCCCCTCTGAACACAGGAAATAAAAGGCGCGAGCTAGCAGAAGCTAGCTCTGGGGACTCTCCCGCTCTGAATGATTCTTGGCACATGCCGTTGGCTCCGGAGCCAACAGCCCCGATGCTTCTGAGCAGCCGTTTAGCAGGCTGCTTTTTGCACAGCGGGGTGGGCCGTCTCAACTCTTGTTGTCTGTATATCGGTTCAGATCTCCAAGCTGCTTTGGCCTCGTTCCGAGATTCAGAGTCAACTACCCCCCCGTTTTTTTTTCTTTCTTTCTCTTCTATTTCCTTGGATGTTTTTACGCCTTGTCTCAGTCATACATTATAAAAGGGCCGGCTTTTAAGTCCTATGTGGTAGACCTTCACCATCCGACCCACATGGTCACTGAGGCTTTGTCTCATCACCCTCTCCTGCTTTCTTTTTTTTTTTTTTCGCCCTCCTCTTTGAGGGTTTCGATGTTTTGCACAGCTTGCCGCTCCGAGGCCCATCCAGCTTGTTTTGTGTCATGCCGCTCCCCTTTATTTTTTTGATGTCAGCTTTCCACACGTCTCTTACTATTTCCTCAGAGACGCCTGGACGCCAGTTTTCGGGCTTCATCTCCACCGACTGACATTAAACAGGAGCGTTGTCAATGTGTGCTGCGCTCAGTCTGTCCGTCGGATGGCTTCTCTCCGTCTCCACCCGTCTTTCTCGAATGTTTTCTCGCCGATCTGTGCCTCACGTCCACCTCTCTTGTGAGCAGTGTACGACCCTCTCTTGGTTCCCCTCCCTCCGTCTCCTCCTCCTTGCTGGCTTTGTAAGATCCAGACTAATCGCTGGTGCTGAATTATACATCCAAGTGAATAGCTGAGATGGCTGTCCACTGCTTAATGTCTGTGTACTGTTTTTGTATCATACTCAAAGTCTACTGTTGCACTGTTGGCATGGCTATACCCTCTGGGTGTTTCAGAGTTTGTTAAGCTGAACTTTAAAGTTTGGAGCTGGTTTCTTCGGAGCCCTTGCAGTTCACTGCCAGTAAACAGAAGAACAAGCCACATTTTCTGTCTGCCAAGTTCTCTGGGTGTAGATGCAGCACCCTGCAAAATATTTATACCCTTTGAACATTTTTTCACATTATTTCATTTTACATTCAGTCGTCATTGTTCTTAGTTTTTTCCCCCCTGGCTCTTTATAGATGCATCAGTTTCAAATTTCTTTTAAAAAAGTATTTTAAGAAACATAAGTCATGAAATTCTGTCAGGGCTGCAGCGAACAGGTTATTCTGATTATATAAACGGATAAACAACATCGGCACATTTGAGCCAGGTGAAACTAAAGCAAGGCGATGTTTTTTTTTATTATTATTCATTCATTTGTTTTTTTTAAGATTAATACATTTTAAGATATTCACAGAACAAATTAATAGGAGTAAATTACGCACAGATTTACTCGCAAAAATCGTAATACTGCTGAAGAAAATTTGTTTAATTGGATTTAATTTGGCTTTAACAGAGTAAAGTGGTTGGAAAATCTTGGGTTGGCAAATATTCAGATTTTTTGTCATTTAAAAAAAAGTAAAATGTATATATATAATTTTCCTTTCACCTTACAGCCTGAATTATGCTCTATCTGTCTGCCACTTAGAAATACCATAGATAAGCCTTAAGCTTTGTGGTTTAATGTGACAAAATGTGGGAAACTTCAAGGGGTGTGAATACTTTGCGAAGTTCTGCGAGTTCTCATGCATCTTCCATCACCGCCCGTGTCGAGGCCTCAGATAAGGATAATAAGATGCATTTGAACTTCAGGCGTCCACTCTGACATATACGCAAGCTCTTCCTTGTTTCATATTCCTCTCGCTATCTTGTTTGTATCAGTCTGTACTTCTGGTCAGCTCTGCAGCCCTCAGCACTGCAAAATTACAGGAGGAGGGGATCAAAAAAAAAAAATTCTTTCTACTTTGATTAATCAAACATGAACATTCAGTGGGGCTCAGTTCGCCTTCCCTGTTCTGTCCTCCGCTCTCTGCACCGTTTTTTTTCCCCCCTCTAACCCAATCAGTAACAGGCACTTCTGACGGCTGGAGATGGGCTGATGAAAGTCATGCAAATGCAGTCTGTTTGTAATGCTATTTTTCCCCGCATCCATCCACATCATCTCTCTTTAACACTCCAAAGCAGTGGCGCGGCTCTGAACTCTGATCAAAAAAAAAAAAAGAAACAGCTGCGAGGAGTGTGTGCCAGGTTCACTTACAGAAAGACTTATAGTTCAACAACAGAACTTCTTGGAACTTCTCGAGTGCTGAAGAGAGTTGGATAACATTCATTTTATGTATTTATACTTTCCGTTTTGATGTATTTGTTTTAATATTTTTAGATTGCAAATACTTATACCCTTTAACCTCTTTTAACAATTTAAGTTGTATCCACTGACATTTCTGTTTTTTTTTTTATTGGGATTTTATGCAATACCTGTAGCAGCGTGAAAAAGTTTGACGTTTTGTTTCAGTATTTTCAGGTTTTTGGGTAAGTTTTGAAAAAACAATGAGGGTGTGTAAAAATATACCTTGCTTTTAAGTCTCCTCCTTACCTCCCTTGTTGTTCCTTCCAGCCTTTTTATTGCCTTTCCAGCTGCTTAAAAAGCATCCCCACAGCATAATGCTGCCACCACCTCATATTGAACACGGTGGGTTCATCAAATTATCATATTTAACATCAAAACCGCTTGAATTTGAGAGAATTACTTTGTCCTCACTACTGTGTGTCCTATTGGTCAATACTTTTCAGATTTATGAGTGTTAATGGGAAAATTTGTAACTCAAACAGGGTTTCTTGATTGCAGCAAAGCAACAAACTGTATTCCTGCCTCACATGCACTAAACGTGTGCACGAGGAGGTTAAATGTTAATCAGAGGTCTAAGTGTTTCCAGGATTAATTCACCTATTTAGCCGAGTCAGACTCTTAGACATTGATAATCATCTTTGTTTGATCAACCCTAAGGCTTGCATGATAATGCCACAATTACTTAACAGCCCCGTTAATAAAAACTGTTTTTTTATTTTCTTGTTTCTCGCCATTCCTTCCTTCTTAGCTAAAATCACTTGTTAACCACAGTCTTGCTGTGTCTCTTCTTTAGGCATGCTTGTCACACTTTTCACTTGTTTTCAACACAGTTTTTCTTTATATGAATGAAGACAATGTTTTACTTTGGTTGTCTACAGAAAAATATTTCAATAAGTTACATAATTTTCTTTTTGTGTGTGTATTCATTCACATTCCGTGTGTCACCTCACCCACCTCACCTCTTGGCACCCTGCCTGGCTGTGGCTCGCACTCAGACTGCTGTGTTCACTGCATCCTCGCCTGTCTCTTCTGTGAGTTCCTGACGCTCTGCAACATGGTGGTGGCCCAGGCCTCCTGCGGCGCGTGCACCTCCGAGGCCTGCTGCTGCTGCTGCACCGACGACATGGGTGACGACTGCAACTGCCCCTGTGACATGGACTGTGGCATCATGGACGCCTGCTGCGAGTCTTCGGATTGCCTGGAAATCTGCATGGAGTGCTGCGGCATCTGCTTCCCCACATAGGTTTGCTGGGACATATAAACATGTGCATCCCAATAAATGAATCATCAAAAAGTTCATTTACTTTGATAATTCAAATAAAAACGCAACAGTTGTCAGATCCATTCCGCAAACACTGATATAGTTAAAAAGTGCTTTAACTATATCATTACAGCTTAGAGCAAACGCTAGCAGAAAAATTCTGCTTATTGAAATATCAGACTTGCATACGACCAACAAATTATAGGCAGCGATTCCAATTAATAGTGTTATCATTTAACAGTGTTGACTCCAAAAACAGGCTGCTGAGTCAATGTGAACAAATAGAAGGTTGAGTGGAAGGAAAAAGTGTGATATAAAAATGCACACAGCACTAATCAATCTTAAGAGGATTACGTGGGGCCACAATACCAGGTTTTTAAAAAATTGATGCATCAGTGAAACACAGCATGGAAGATGTCGATGTGAAAAACCACAGATTACTTTAATAGTGGCCCACCAACTCTTCTGCATTGTTAGCTCTGGTCTTTCTAATCCACACCTTGACTTAGATTCTTTTTAGGATTTAGGCTAGAGTACTTTTCTAAATGATCAAACAGTTTTGGTTCCTTTCCTATTGTGTGCAGGTGCCAAATCCCACTGAAAAATAAAATGGACGCCCACACAAAGCTTGTCACCAAAGAGAACCTTAAATTGACTTTGCTTCATAATCTCTTCAAGAGCAAGATTATCCTAGTTACTTGCATTGTTTTTCTACCACACTTTTTCTTTCCACTCAACTTCCAAATAAAAAAAAAATAGTTGAATATAGCACTATGTGAACAAAGAGACTCTTTGGGGTTCAAAGGACAGAAATAAATAACTGAAATATATCACTGTCTTTGTAATCACTCTATATATTGAGTTTCATCTTGAATTACAGTTATAAATGAACTTTTGGATGATATTCTTATGTATCAAGATGCACGTGTAATGGAACCGCTTCCTTTGAATTGAGCAGAATCATGGAGTTGTGGGTGAAGGAGTTGGACACTGGGCTCAACACAATTAACAGCCCAGCAAAGACTACAAATAATTCACATTTATGAATGTGTCATGTGTTTTAAGTATGTTAACTAATACAGAAAAGCATTTATCATAGGCTGACTTCAAGCATTTTATTGTTGCATTAAGATTGCTGTTCAGTCACATCTTTTTATGCCTCTGTTTAGTCTTATTGGCGATCTAAATGCATTTTGCAGATTTTGTTTCTGTTTTGTTTTCTATACCAGAACAAAACCTTAGATTGCGATTTTAGTCCAGTCAACACTGTAAACAAAAGGGTTTGTGACGGTGAATACATTCCTCATTTCATACTGTAGCTTTATGGATTTCATTAAAACATTATCTACTGTATAGCAGATGAAACTGGTGAAAGTTTTAAGTGTTTCAGGACACTTTTCTGCTACCTTCTGACACAAAACCTAAGGGTGTGATCTGGAATAATTGCATTTGCATTTCTATTTTGAGCATTGGGGGAAAAAAAGATTGTGGAATGAGCAGCACAAAATTGTTAATAAGCTTTGCAAAAAATGTACAAAGTGCTGGAATAATATATATATTTTTTTCTCTGAAGAATCTCATCTCATCATCAGATTTGCAAACATTGGAAAACTGTTTTACTGAAAAAAGAAGCACTTTTTAAATAGTCATTAAGGAGTCTGACCAGCAGAATATTACTCTGTTCTGATATATATATATGTATTCAGACTTTTTGTTTTCCTATGTTAGCCTGTAACAAACCTGTTTTGTCACTTGCGTATGGTACAACTCTCTTTCGTGATGTGTTTGTTTTTGCATAAATATCAAAAGTCACAGATGACAAGAGTTGCCACTTGAGCAGCTTTTGGTTCTCCAGTCACATGAGAATCGAGTGTCACAATAAAATAGTAAACTACTGCAGAGTTAAGCAGTACTCCTCTATTTTCTTCTGTGTATCTCATGATGAGTTTATAGTGATTCACCAGCAGAGCCATTTCCTGTCTTGGAGATCCGCTTTGATGTTGTTTAAGTGATGACACTTAACGCCGGCCTTCATTAGCACTGCTTACCAAACGGTCACAAGAAATGTCCCTTTTTAACGCCATCAAAGATGATGTGCCGTCCTGCACGGCTAGTCTTAGCAGCTCAGTGTTACCAGCACTCTGGGGGTCGGATGTGTCCCTCCTCGCTGGATAATCTGTGGGAAGTAAGCCTCGTTTTCATGTTTGTGACGAGCCCAAACTGAAAATGTGTTACGGGCTACAGCGTGTCAAGAAAACACAACTTAGAAAATGTGAAGAATTCATGTAATAGAAGAAACCTGGTGATATGGTGAATTGTTGTAATGCACCTCTGTAATTTTGATGCCTTTTTGTTTGTGCATTTCATCATTGTGTGTCATTTTTCAGTTTCATAGTTTTGCACATCCTTTGATAACAAGGACATAGAGACAGAAGGGCACGGCAATTTAAGTTGGAAGTTGCCTTATGCAAACATTACCAATGTGATCTACTGTTTTTTGTATGAGCATTGATAATTTGAACATTTCTAAAACTTTTTTTTTTTCTACAAACTGTCGTGACAGGAAAAAAGTAGCAGTTGGCAATTTAGGCAATTCCAAAGCATGACATGTCCACTTCTGTGCATCACAGGTAATGGTATGTTTATTGATGTAAAATGAGTTTTCATTGGCACCAAACTGTGTGAAACACCGCCATTTTGGCTCATTTGTCTGGGCTTATTCGACAAAGGATGGTTTTGCTAAACTGTTCCAGTTTGCTACGGGAACTTTATACGTTTTTCAGGCAGAGGGAAAAATCAGCAATTCTACTCTAACAATGGACACACGTTTCCCTTAAAACCTAACAATCAAGAAAAATCACAAAACCCTTCTGTTTTTAGCCCTAATTGCAGAGCAGCCCTTTTTATTTTATTCTGAAAACTAGTTAAAACCCAACTGGGTTTTAACATGCTTCTCAACCAGACAGACATTTCTGCAAATTTCAAGTGGTTAAACTCCAAAACAAGACTGTAGGGTTCTTACATTAAGATATCGCTGCGCTTCAAATAAATTCATTATTTCAGTCAGTGTCTGTATTATGCCAATGTCCTACATTTGAAATAAAAACCTTTTTTTTTTTTTTTTTTTTTTTTTTTTTTTGCTCTTTAGATGCTGTTTACTCCATTTTTATTGGTTCCTCATGAGATTGCCCCCCACAATCTTGTTATCTCTGGGAGAATCCTAACATCAACATGGGCGCATGATAACCAACATTCTCTGAGGTCTTAGGCGGCAAAGACCTCCTGCTGGTCGGGACAGCAACCTGACCTTTATCCAACATTACCTCCTATTAACCCCTCAATTAACCTTGAGGCCAGGCCCTCTGGTGGAGAATCTGCACTTTCTATTCTCTCTTTATTTGTGCCTCATCACTTTGTGCCCACATTCGCCCTGACCCCCGAAAATTGCTGTCTTATTTCCCTAATGCGGTATGAAAAAAATACTTCTGTCCTTAAAGTCTGTAATCATACAGGGGTTGCACTTTCATTTTTATTTTTTTCGTACTTTGTTCCTTCTCTAAAGTGCAACTCGCAGGCTGAAAATTTCGAAAAACTCCAGGTAGAGTGCGCAATGACCTTTTCACAAAGTCTTCCAGATTTCTGCTCCTCTAATCAATCCCCCTCTGATCGCCTCGCTGTGTGCCGGATTGTAATGTCACAATTAGGGCCGCTCCATTGTTTCTGTTTTCCGTCTGGGGAGAAAGCTGGCGCTTCTCTGATCTCAAGGTCATTCCTTTTCACAGTTTTAAATAAATTATTGGCCGCCTTCTCTGTTCATCCATCCATCCATCCACTCCCCTCACCCTACCCATTCAATTGGTAGATGTGCCATCTTTTTTTTTTTTTTAACCAGAAAATGAATGGCTCACATCCTCAACTATGAGAATAAATGCAGCTTTTTGTTGTTGGGTATGATTAGAAAAATATGGGGACCATTAATGTTGTTTTACTTCTGTAATTTTTTGTATCAGAACATTAAGAACTGTATACTAATAACATAATAATTATGTATAATGTCACTAATTTAACCCAAAAAAGGAGAGGTGACAGTAATGTGTTTCCATCTACTTTCTCTTTTTCTGCCCAGAATATCAATTTGCTTCTGTCAGGAAAATGTGATTAATGTGTATTTTAATTATAGTTTTTCAAACCTCGTAGGTCTTTTAATTTATAACATCTGTAATATCATCATTACCCACCTACTATAATTGTAATTATTCATTTTGACTCTTTTTCTTTTTTAAATATTGTTTTTTTTTTTGTTACAGGTAATAATACAATAAATGTCAGCATCTTTAAGAAGCGCTAGGGAACACAAGCAAGATACAATTAAGTTTGAGTTAAGTTTCTAAGTTGCTAAGTTTCAAAGCTAACTTAATAGTTAGCTCTGAGATGAGTCATCAGAGCATTTCCCATTGTACCAGAGGAGCCACTGCAGTGACCAGAGTTTTCTCCAGCTGCAGCAATTGTTTGTAAAAACTAACCTGAGCTGATAATCTGACTTATTTACCACCTTGCCAGGCTGTTACTTTATAAAGGGCAGAAAATATATGGCTCTGTGCAATAAGCACCTTAAAACTAACGTTATAAAACTGTCATAAGATTTAATTTCTGAGTTTGATGTCGGGCTGAATTTTTTCCTGCTGCGTGGAGCATCAAGTAATTTCAGAGCACTGCAAAATAAAGCAATTCTTTATTTTGTTTTTTGTTTTTTTCTTAAAAGAAAACAATTCTACTTCATGCTTTTGGAGAGCTCTTGCTAAGCAGCCAATCCACGAACGGCATTTTTCATCCTTGGTGCTGATTGGCTGCGGCCTCAAGATGGGGTTTTGGAGGGGAATGTTAGCTTCTGCGGTTTTTTGTTGACGGTTTCCGCTGTGCTTTGACGCACATTTAGGTCTGTTTTCTGTGTGAACCGTCAACATATTGTGAGCTACATTGGAAAGGCGAACTTTTGCAAGAGGGCATTGAAACTTTTAAAAAAATTTGATTTCATTTAGATGAAATTATACATTTCTTTCTTAGATTTACACTAACTTCATGAAACATCAGCATTCCCACCCAAGGTTTTTCAGATGGCGACAAGATGAAACTTCCTGCTTTGATCTCAAGATAATCAAAACTTATATTGTACACCAAATTCTTTTTTTATTTTGTTTTTTGGTGTTTGTTTTGTGCAGCATTCTGTGCGCCGCCATTTCACTCAGTTCAAAAGTTTCAAACGACCTGACCTGGCTGTTTAGAGTTGCAGCACGACATTAAAATGAGATGAGATGAGTCTTCAGAGAGCGTTGCAAAGGAAAACAAAAAAAAAAAAAAAGAAAACAAGGAGAGGCGAGTTCAGCTAATGTCACTTTCAATTAATATCCTCAGGTAGTGGCCCCATTAGCCCTCTCACACATGGGCCTGGTTTACAATGCAAATAGGGTCATTACCTGAGAAGCCTAATCGGCTTTGACAAGAGGCCAGAGAAGTCAGCCTTCCTCTCGCGCATATTTGTTTGCTTATTGTTTCTTTTTTTTTTTTTGGCACAAATCAACACATGAAATCTATTAGAAGTGAGAGAGCAAGCAAGCGTTCTGTTTGAATTCTGCTTTGTTAGGAGCTGTCGCACGACAGCCGAAGTTTGTACGCTCTCTGTTACCAGCAACTCAAATGCAACACTAACAAATTACATCAGTCTGAGAACAAAGAGACAGAAATGAAAAGTAAATGATTTCCAAGGGAAGGATTTGTCGTTCTTTGTTCTGGAGTCTTCCCAGAAATGTGTCGTGTGATCGCGCTTGCACCTTAAATATTTAAAGACCCCCTTTTGCGGAAGCTTAGTTTGTCGTGTTGCGGATGGGCCTCCGACTGCCTCTAATCTCCTTGTTACCTGGAGGCGTCATAACGGCGATGCAAAGACAACATGTGGCATATGATTGCGAGACAAGATTCCACCCCAACATCCCCCAACCCACTTTCGGATGGGGCACAGGCAGGTTCAAAGTTTGCGCGCCCCCGAGAAGACGCTTGGCGTCAACATCTGCCTGGGAGAAAGAAAAGTGCCGGGAACGAAAGAAGAGTAGAATAAAAAATAAAAAACCATCTTAGATCAGTTGTTTCCCTGAAAACATCCTCCTGTTTTCTCCCCCCACCTCCCACGTTCCCCAGATACTGTGGCATCTTAAACCGTTTGTGCAGAATGAAGATTTTTTTTGCCAGGCCTCTGTATTCGCGGCGTGTTTGTGATGAGGGAGCGCTCTGTTTTCTGGATCCTTGCACAGACTTTTACGCACAGAGGGAGAGAAAAATAGCAGAAATTCAGATTGTGGACCTATAAATAAGACATCGGCTCAAAAGTGTGCACTCTCAACTTTTGCCTTTGCCACCGGAAAGCGACGGAGCGTAGCAGAGGCAAATTGAAAGGGATGGATGGATCAAGAATGCCTCTTTATTTGCTTGTACACACTCCTTGAGCTGTAAATTAGATGTCACCGTCGTTACATGTCATGTGCTGATGTGGACGCGTTTACACCGCTTTTGATTGTTTGTTCCAAGCATCACTTAGATAAATAAAGACTTGACTCGCCTCCAGTCATCATCGGGGTATTGCGAGTGACTGGTAGGTTGTTCTGGTGGGCGGACTTGCTCTGGTGTGAATTATGTGAGAAAATCACTAGAAAGCCATATTTTCCAACTTTTTCTTTCCTTTTTTTCTCAGTATAAACACAGACCTCGTTGTTTTTTTGGGTTTTTTTTTTATTAGAACAATTGCAAAAGACAGCTCATACGTGGGAATTAGAACAAAAAGGACACTTTGCTGTTTGTCAAAGTAAAAAAATGGTTTGCATTTGTATTTAGTCCTCTTTACCCTTAAAATAATTTCAGGAAATCTGACTTTCATTGAAGAGCGGCAAGAAGAAAGTCATGAGAAGTTCACTTTAAAGTTGTCCACATCATGTGGGGGTATGGTTAAACATGTGGAATAAAGTGTTCTGGTTGGATGAAGTTAAAATGGGGCTATTAAACCAAGGTGCAAAGTGCTCTGTGTGGCATACAACTATTGCCACCCTTCTAAATACACAATTCCCTGGTATCTAATTCCCTTTTTAAGGTGTAATGTCTTTTAATTAAAGGGGCCTAGTCAAAGTCCACACCAAAATTCTATTCAGAATCTGTGACAGGACTTAGAAGCTGATGCTATTTTGTTTAAGTTATCTATTTTGTGAAGATGAATGAGTAAAAAGTTTAAGTGTGCAAGCGTTTGATGAGACCTGCAACAGCAGAAAGAGGAGATCCTAGTAATACTGTATTTATATTTGTGCTTGGAACATATTTGTATTAAATCCACATGACTGACAGGAAAACACATGCGTGAATACAACAAAAATATTTCCCAGAGCTATTGTTTCTTTTTATTTTTCAGGTCGGTTCAACAAAGCCTTTATTTTGACTCTTGAAGATTTTTTCTCCCCCATTAACACATAAACAGATAAGGGTCTCACTTGTTTGTGTTTTGTCAGATCTTTGAAAATAAAAAATTCCCTGCCTTGCAGCACATCTCAAACAGCGACTGTTGTTACGCCTGTCTCAGCAAGCCACCTAACGACGACAACAACACAGCAGCAGCAATAAAGCTCCCAGATGTTTCGCCTCGGCGTGTTTATTTACCTGTCATGTTCCCCTAATTGTTTCGTCTGGTACAAATAAACACGTCGCCTGTTGCATCTCTGTTTGCACGCCCGTTCGCCAACAAACAGGCTCGCTGGCAGGTTGTTTGTGATGATGTGTGGCGCGTGCAGAAGGGATTAAAAGAAAAGGTGACTCCACGCCGGCGCGGTGATTTGTACGCATGCCAGAGGGAATGGGATTCATGGAGGACGGGTGGGGGTGGGGGCAGGGGTTAAGGTGTGCACGCAGGTAACATCTGCTGAGATTCTTCTGCACAATAAAAGAAGAAGAAAAATCCTTAAGCTGTATATTAACATCTGTACTCTGAAGATTTACAGCTCGAGCTGCCCTTTCATGGAGACACTTGATTTTAAATTAGGCTTTACGAGCTTAGGAAAGAAAGACTGTGAAACATTACAGCGTCTTCCTCAGTTACTTTAATCATAGAAGTACACAAACCAGTCCAATACCGATACTCACTTTGTATCAATATTATCAATATTTTCAATTGATTTGCACACAATTACTGGCAACCAATCCAAACGAGGGAACTTACAATACGTTTAAACTTTAAAAAAAAAAAGAGATGGAGCTGTCAGTATTGCCAAGTTTAACATTCAGTGTGTAAATGATCCTTCACTCTGCAAAACAATAATCTTTAAATTCTTCACAAATGGCTGTATAAAATTTCCCAGACTAATGGGCAGCAACAGTTGCTTCACACAAGTCATTTTCTACTGTTTGCTGTCGAAATTAAAAATGCATTATGTGTTCGGTTATTTTCACTGGCCACGCCAAGTCCTGATTACTGCATGACTTGTAAAAACAAGAAATAACTTAAATAGAAACTGATAATATGTTATTGGCCGAAAAGTCTTGAAATAACACATCCTACTCTGACGTAAAGAAATTCAACAACACATAATTGACATCCATCAGTTTGTAAATCCATTCAAAGCCATTTGTAAGACTGAGAATCCAGTAAACCACCATGGGAGCCTCTAATCCACAAATGAAGAAAACATAGAACCATGGTGAATCTTTCCAGGAGTAGGAAGCCTAACAAAATTACTCAAGGAAAACATCACATCCACACGGATACATAAAATAACCCAGAAAAACAACTAACACACCACAAGCCCAAGTAGGGTCAGCGTAATGGATTCAACAGTTAGACGGAGACCGGGCCAAGCTGGATCCAGTTTCAAGGCAACAGACACTGATGACCAAAAATGCCATAAACGGTCGTCTCACATTTGCCCAGAGAATGTTGATGCTCTCCAAGACTTTTGGGAAAATATTCTGTGGACGGCCTAATGACCTTCATGACTCACCTTAATCAGTGGAACCACGAATCCTGCTGTCTACCAGAAATTCAGGAAGATGAATGATGTTTTCTCTTCATAATGTTTAGCTTCAGCTCAGGCACATTTGGATTGAGCAACGATTGAAAATAAAATGGCATGGGCACTTTGGAATGGTTTAAAAAAAATAAAAGAAATAGGGCCTTCTTACAATCCAGATTTGAATCTGATCGAGATCTTCTGATGTGACCAGAAAAAGTTTTATGTTTGCAAAGCCTCCAATGTGTCTGAATTTGAACAATTCTGAAAAGAAATATGGGCTTAAGTCCCTCCTCAGTGGCGTTGAAGACTCATTCCCATTTAAAAGGAGTTATGGCAGCCAAGAAACAAATAATTAGGTTTAGGGAGTACGGCAAACTGTACAGTTTGCTTTGGATCGCTTCTTTTCACTCTAGGAACTTTTGATGTTTTACCTAGTTTGGCAAATTAATTCATACATGAGGCCTCTTTCCTTTTCACTTTCTTTAGTTCAAACACTACTTTGTGTCTCAATACAGTGAACAAGTATAGCAGATAAAATAATTAAACACAACTGAGGGATTTTTCACAGTGATGTATAATTTTGCTCATTGTTCCTAAATTCCTCCCTATTTCCATTCAGGTAGGTACCAACTCCGAACCTCAATGTGGTAAAAATGTATTTTTCCCCTCTTAGAAGAAGAATAGGCTTGTGAAATAACGTGGTAGAAAAGTGGTACAAAATGAATGAGCTTCAGGACGTGAGCTCATCTCATGTAAGTCAGATGAAACATCTTGCAAACCGTTAGTTGATGTTTTCACAAAGGAAAGAAAAGGAGAAGATTCAGGGATAGAACTCCATTTGGAGGAAGTGCATTGTTTATCCAAGAGCACCAGACAACATACAAAAAAACACAAAAGTCTTGAAAGGGGTTGGAAAAAAAGAGATTAAAAAAAAGTATCACCTCTTTAGTTTTTACTGAAAGAACAAAGGTTGAATAAAAATTAAAATATTGTATTTTAGTTTTTTTTTTCCCCTCTCTCTTGTTTTAAAACTATATTTTCACTCTGAAAAACAATGAGTTTGAAGCGTTCAAGCGCCTTGTTACACTTATTGCCACTAGGTGGCGGTATAGCGCGTCCTCCAGTTGTTTGCCAACCGCCAATAAAACTCAGGGAGACGACGAAAAAGAACCGCTTCGTTAAGGTAAAGCATGATCAAGACGTACAGCGACTGCGGCACTATTACAGGTTAGTATTGCTTTTATTTTCAATTAACATTTTAGAGTTATGGCCTTGGTCATTTTTATGGCCGCCTATTTAATTTACTTTGGAACTGCTTAAAGAGTTACTTTTGGCCGCAGTTGAGGAACACTTCAACCGAATGTTTTTTATTTTCTTAACAGAAACAAAAGTTTTCAAACATTTGTCGACTAGCAAACAAATGTCGCACAGAAAAAGTGTTCTTAACTAGAAGACTGCAGAATACTGCCTCGGATTATTTCAAATGAACACGGACAGATGCAAACAAATGTAATAAATAACAGACTTTTCTCGAAGGAGGTTTTAAACGCTGCAGACGTTTATCTGCACGTTGCAGCTCTTGAAGTAACAATCACCACCCCCTGGTCCACGCTTTGTACATTTCCTCTCGAACCCCTTAATCAGCCTTTCCTGCAATATCATTTCAAGGCTGTGGTTATCCCTGTTGCTTTGGCAATAGTTGCCACCACAGTTTGTGCTTCAGCTAAACTTTCCATACGTATGTTTGGATGCGGCTCTGTAAACAGCCAGCTCCTTCTGCAATGACCTTTTTGTGGGCTCCTCTGTCTGTAGTGGGTTTCAGTGACTGTACCAGCTGTCCAACTCCTGCTCTTCCCCCCCTTGGTGGCCTGGACTATGACATCACGATGTGTTGGAAAGTGATTCATTTCTGAAATTGCTTTCATGTGAAAATTGATATTCCGTTGAGCTCAGCCTTGGGTTTGCAGTAGCTGTAGGGCACAACTATCAAAATGAACAGATGTTAATGTGTAAAGTATATTGTTCTGAAATGTTTCTTTAATGTGAGACTTTTTCACAGGAATATTTGTGTAATCCGAAAGCGCTAAAATTGTTTTCCTGACAAGCATAACTTTAGATATAGACCCTGTCTTTTTCTACTGTTCTTTGCATCAGCTCTATGATATACGCTGGAAAACAAGAACACTTTTAAATCTTTGATTTCCAGATGGGATCGTGCTTCTTCTGAGCAGCCACGTTTGGCAGTGTTCATAGTTACCCATTCCACTTACTGTTTGACTGCAGGAGTCTATTGGTGATTATAAATACTGCATGTTTGCTCCCGTTTGACAGAACAGTTCTGAGGAACCGTCTAAATAAGCCATCTTTGCCGTTTTTGAAGTCACCGGAAAACCACCAGTCGAAGTCGCGAGCACCTTTTTGAAGAGGCCGAGGACGGCAAGTCAGCAACATGAGGAGGAGGAGGAGGAGAAAGGCCTCATGTCGAAGATGCCACCGCTCATATGTCACAAGGTGATGAAGTGCAGATATCTGCCCTTAAAGAATTTGTGCCCTGCAGACGCATGCCAGATTTATGTCTTTTCGTTCCCTCTCCTGCCCCATTCTTCAACATTCAAACACGTCGAAGCAAAAGGCGGTTTGAAATACTTACCCCCTCCCCCGCGCTCCACCCTCCCACCAGCCCCCCCCCAAAAAAGAATATTGAAGACGGTCGAATTCGCAGGTTAAAAATGTATATGCAAATGCAGGCTACATTAGAGCACACGAAGGTTGTTAATAAATTAACACGTGGCAGAAATAATTCAGTTTAGCGTGATAATTCTTGGGTGTGAGCTGTCAGCCGTCGCATTGTTCCAGGATGGAAAGTGACGCTGAAATGGCAACACGAGCGGTGAACTGTGATGTTTTAGTGTACCTCCATTCGGCGCGCTCTGACACAATAACTGCCTTTTGCTCGCCTCGCTCTACTTTTTCTTTTCTTTTCTTTTTTTGTCATTTCGGCAGAACAAAAGGTTTAATTAAGGATGCTTTCCGAAGGGAAGCCGACACGAAACACACACATCTCAGCCAAGGTGTGTGTTTGCGAGGATCGAGTCGAAACCGACTCTTCGTGAACGAGATGCGTCTTTAAAAGTTTTGTGAATTTCATCCCCCAACATTGATCATCACTATTCATGACTTGTGCAGAGCATGTGATACGCCAAATGTTATGTCTCCTCTCGGGTTGCCATAGTTGCTAAGCTGCCGAATGTAGGAGGACATCTTAGCAGGGATGTTGTGTGACGAGTTCGTTTCTTCCCCTTGCCTCGGCCTGGAGATTTGCATAGCAGGAACCCGGGGAGCTGACACTCTGTTTGTGTAGCTCAAGGTGCAGAGGATATGCAAAGTGTCAAGTGACTCACAGTCAAGTTTTTTAATAAGTGCCATTTGTTCAATCTGTTGTTTAAACATTCCCGTCACCTCCATGTATCCTTAAAGACTGCCGGCCTCGCTATCTTTTAATTAAGTCTTGGACTAATGTGCCACTTAATTGTCTCATCTTGGAAGATGTTGTTTTCTCTAATTTACTTGGGGAAAAAGTATCGCAAGCTAAGCTTTTTAATTTGGTTCTGTGGAGGCTGGGTGTTTAGTGGGTTCCCAACGAATGAGGGAACACTTCAAAAGAGGAGAAACTTCTTTTCAATTTGAATGAACAGGACTTTATAATGTCTTTAGCTTACATTTCTTTCTTTTTTTCTTTACAGTTTTCCTTGCAAATCTTTGTGGTAAAACCTGAAATTTGCAAGAGGTTCATGACCTCATTTGCAATGTTGTGCCACAATAATTGATACCAGTGCTGTTAATATTTGCCTGACAGGAGTTGGTGTTCTATAACATTTCATGAGGTTGCTGCGTACAGAGAGAGGAATCATCTGCATCACAGAGATTTTCTGTCGAGCTTATGTCTTGGGACTGAAATAATCTTAGAAGATAGTTTATTTTGTGTCTAAATATATAAATTTTGTCCATATGTTTTGGATGATTGTTCTCCTGAGAGACCCAGTCACCCTCCAGTTTCAGATTCTTTGAGAAAACCCATTGGAATGATATAAAATTCCTTTATAATTTAGTGTAACATTCTTCCAATGGCAGTTGAAAGAGGAACAGGCCCATGACATCACAGCTGCTCCTTCCTACTTGACAGTGAGCATGAGCTGATTTTCAACACATCTGTCCTTCCTGTTATCCCAATTCCAGCAGGAGTGTTTGATGACTTACACTTCACTCTCTGTCTTCTCTGGGCAAGCACACAATTCAAGTCTCAACAACAAGAATCTAAGTCATGACCTTATAAAGAGCTTGGATAACTGCACTTGTTTATGTTCGTGATGGTAGAATAGAAAAGGCAAGCTACATATCCTTTCAATTGTTACCAATTGAATATTCAACATCAATTGTCCTATCAGTTATTTGGAGAGTTGCTTAGAAATATACCAAGTTTCGTCTGAAATTACTTCACAAGAGCAGCTTTATTACTGTGATGGGAAGGCTTAATTTTTCTTGCCATTTGGTGAAACAAAAACCAAATTCAACAGTACAGTTTTCCAGAAACGTTTCCAAATATTCACTGAAATGTATTCATCTGTTTTAAATCTTCCAGGGGGATATAAATATTAAAGTTGAAATTTTCCTATTTTTGAAGGGATTTGTAGCAGTTTCAGTTTTGACTTTCATATTTGTTTGTTTTTATGAAATGAATCATTCCTCTCTGCGACAAATGACTGCAATGATTTAAATCTAGTCCACGGAACAAAGTTTTGCAAAGCTCTGCAACCTGTTGTGGTCAGATAGTAAAGTGAGCGACAGCAGGAAACCCAGAGTGCAGTTCAAGGAGGAAGTGCAAGGCCAGCCCTGATGCGGGGTCACCACATGCAAGGCTTATGATTAAATGGAAAAAGTGGCGTCAGAGAAGGTTGATAGGACAGCAGAGTGAAGGGCCTGTAAACAATGACTCACTTGGCTTGCAAAAGAGGGGAAGAGTGGGAAGGAAGCAGACGACAGCAACCAAAAGTTCTCCAAGTGTGTGTGTGTGTGTGTGTGTGTGTGTGTGTGTGTGTGTGTGTGTGTGTGTGTGTGTGTGTGTGTGTGTGTGTGTGTGTGTGTGTGTGTGTGTGTGTGTGTGTGTGTGTGTGTGAGAGAGAGAGAGAGAGTCAGAGTTTGCAGTTTGAGACAAATGGGCCTCTGTCAGGAAATCCCAGCAGACTGGATTTAATTCTGTCACTCTTACATTCACAAACACTCATCCACAAATTCCAAGGCTTATAAATGTAACTGAAACCCCAAAGAAGAGATAAAGTTTCTTAAAGTAGTTGTTCAGTTTCCACAAAAATCTGATGATTCCAAATAGACCTCTGCTGCTGTGTTTCGGAATCTTCCTTCCTTTTAGGAAAGGGACACACAACAGAAAACTCCCCACAGAAGTCACTATGTGCCAAAAAAATCTGTGAAAAAAAGACAGATTAAAAGCAATGTCTCATGTAAGTTTTAAACCTTGATAAACCGCAGCCTTGAAGTAAGGAAAATAGCGGGTCAAATAAGAAGCTTTGCGGTGCATTCCTGGAAAAATCTGGACATACAAGATTCGTTCTGTGTTTCTGGCATTTTGATAACAAATTGCAGTGCTATCATCTTAGCTCTTCTGGTGAAAAAAACAAAATTAGTGTTGGGGGAAGAAAGATTAATTTTCAGGTTTTAGGACATGAGCACAGGGTCTCTTTCTTCTGTGATCTCAAACTAATAGAGGTTAACAAGTTCTCTCAGAAAATGTCTTTCAGATGAGCAACAAGAATTGACTGAAGAAAAGAGCTCAGCCTTTTTCTTTTATAAAGAAAACGAGAAAAGCACTTAATTGTACAGACACATAAATAAAAACTTTATTTTGGTTTAGTCTTCCTTCTAAATTTACGTTCCTATCTGGGATGGCAATTTAAGGAAGCATAGTTCATACTGATCCAGTTTGTAGTATTACGCTTACACACACACACAAAACAAACATCTTTGCTGTATTCAGACACACAATATGCGAACAATACAACAGAAGCACTTGCATACACACCAATATCCAATAAATAATTGAATCTCCAGTGGCTACCCTCAGAACTGCAGTGATACATTAATTGGGCAAAATTAGCATGAATTAAAGCAAATAAGTGTAACATGTAATTTATTACTTATCAAGTGTAGTTTAGCGGTGGAAAGCTCCGATTTCCCCCCAGATTGCTTTAACAGCTATAATGCATTTCTTAATTTACTCTGTGGAAAATCAATTTTTTTTTTCAGCGTTCATTAGGCACCAATATGTTACAATGCTGCTCCCTTGAGCACCCAGCTACAAAAAACATTATGCAAATTTCTGCCAGTGCATCTGTATGTAAATAGCAACCAAGTCCACAGTCAATTCTCTATGGGAAGCTTTGTTAGCAGGCCCTTTGTTTCTAAGCTTGAACCTTGTTCATGATAGTCAGGAAATTTGAAAAAGGCTGCGTATGACAGGTGAGGGCAAACAAACCCAAGACCAAATTTGTTCTACAGTCTCAGTAATTTATTTCAACAATTTTCAGAATATCGTGAGCCAACAAGCTGGTTAGTTTGGATGATCAAGTAGTTTTATTGTGAATGTTTGTTTGCTTGATATTGATTGGAGATTTCCAGCCACGACAAAACATAATTTAGTTGCTCAGATATCTTAGGCAAATTCAGAAGATGATTTTTATACATAAACACTGCGTGGGCCTTTTTTTTTAAAAAAAATGAATTAATTTAAGTAAAAGAAAAACCTTTAGCAAATCTACATGAAATACACAAATTTTCTTCTGTCCAAGCAAGATTAAAGTTCAGATTAAACAATGAAAAAGTCTCTGATGCCCTCTAAATATTTGAATGGATGAAATGGGGCACCTCAGCTCGACTGTCTTGTTTCTCAGATTGTACTTCATTTGGATGAAGTTTGTCCTTTTTTAAAGCAATGACATCAGAAATTTCATTAAGATCTACTGTACAATCTCACAGTTCTATTGGCTTCCATACTACTTTCCACTGCAACTTATTGCTATTCTAAAACAGGCAATAGAACAGGATTTATTTAGTTTTACTTTGTGTCATCACAGAAACACAATAAGATTAAAAGCCGCATTAGATGGCTAGCATTACCCAAAGATATTTTGGAGGAGGTCTGTGAGTTATGACTTCCATTTGGTCTTGGACCAAGTCAGAAGGCCTGCAGACTTCAGTGTTCTTATCAAAGTTGAACCAGATCTCAAAATTCAATATGGCCGTCAAGCCATAATTGATGGGGGAGCACAGTAGTAAACCATTAGTTTTCACTGATATCTGTGTCTCATAAAATTACTCACTATTCATCTTGAGATGCATCTCTTTGAATATGCCATACATTGCTGTTGCCTTGTTTTGCTGTTGTCAACAGCATTTTTGTAAAGTCCAGATTCAAGTATGACTTTAAAGGTAAAAGAAGT